TTTGGATCAAGTTTGAATTATTCGTCCAAATTCATACATGATGGATCCCAGTCTCGTAGTGAGATGTATGATATCAGATCTTATTGATAGGGTATAGGGTGTTAGAATGTATTTTATTGGAAAAATTCCAACTGGGATTGATCTGGATCGACATTATTAAACAGTTTATTTCCGTTTCACTTCTCATATCTCATGCAATATTTCCAATTTGCAATGGAAGATTTTAATTTTGCAAGCCATCCCTATCTTTTGTGATATTTTATTTGTGAATTAAAGCTGCATCCACTCTTGATCCTCCCAGTATGATATCACATCCACAGTTCTCATCATTAGGGTTAAGTGCAGATAGACATAGCTATATTTGATTCCTTAAAATTGAAAAGAAAAAGGAAAAGCATTGTCCTTCCGTACCATTAATTGTATACTTGTTGGAGCCCTGTGTGTGCAAGACATGTGGAGGGCCTTTTATACAACCTATTTGGCTGATGTATTGGGTTGAATTTTAGGGTTCGTTTGATTTGCAGTTTTTGAATCAGAATCGAAATCCTCCGGGGTTGAAATCGGAATAGCCCATTCCGATTCCGATTCTAGACCCTTATTCCTGCAAATCAAACGGGGCCTTAGTTTTATATAAAACAATGTTGGTACAAGCTATTTGGGGGTATTGGGAGTGCTAAATTATGTATGGTGTACAGTGTAAGTGTGTCAATGGATTTGGAGTCCAATCCAAAATCAATTTAGACGAATTGAACAGGCCATCAAGACATATTGAATTGGATTAAGTCAATATTTAATCTATTGATATAAGATAAGTATATAGGTGTTAATAGACCCGGTTTAAATTGAAATCAATCTAAACCAAAACAAATTTAAACAAATTGAATTAACCCAAAATAATCCAAAATATTCATTAAATTGGATTAGACCAGATCCATTTATAATAGATTCACATTAAACTGAATTGGATTGGACTAAATCCAGTAAAATTGACACCCCTAAACAGCCCGCCTTAAAATTTTATTAATCATCATCAAAGGGAAGAAAAAAGATTACAGAAGAGGACGTAACACGCCTTGTCCTGAACCCAAAGGCACAAATGGCGGATCTCCCTCGTAAACTCAACCCTAACCCTTACAATGAAAACCCAAAAGCAAAAACTACAATTAGATACAAATGGCCGCCCTCAAGCTTGAACATGCATTCTCAGAGTTGCCAACCTAGGATTTAAAGTAATGGGCCAAGATTTTTAAAAGCTTATATACAGAATATAATTATCCACCACAAGAAGTATTTAAAAATAGTGAGATTTAGAATAGAGAGAAGGTTTTCACATTAAATGTGATTCTTTTTAAGAATAAGTGGACTGAAATCCACCTCAGAAATCTGAATTGCAGCCCCCTCCTAGTAGTAGCTCTTTATAAATCACATTTCAAATCTTAACTCCACCTTAGGGGTGGATTGAACTATAAAAATCCCTTCCTTTTATGGTAAAATAGGGTGAGTTCATTGAAAGAATCAATTATTAATTTAATGTACTAATAAAGATAGAATTTAATATACTATATTCTTAAAAGGCCAAAAATCGAAAAGAATCAATAAAAATATAGCATGGTTTTTGAACCGTTGTTGGCCCGGATAGCTGGACCATTTGGCCTAGGAATCGTCTAAACAACCGATTCTGTTTTACCCCAAACCCGGTCCCTGGCCAAAAACCATTGAAAAGTCCACAACATATTGATCCGGGCAGTCAAATTACTAACCCATTCAATAGTTTTAACCATTTTTTATTTTTAATTTTTTTTTGTCAAGATGGGCCATCCGTTCGAATTGAATGATCGAACCATTGACCCAAAAACCGATGATCAAAATAATTACATTTTCGGATCGTTTTTTGAAACCATAAAATATAGTAGTAAATTTGATGATTAAATTATCAATGAAAAAATCAATCTACCAAATTTCTATGGGATGGTCAACGGATTGGATGACTACAATCTTTTTGACCAATCTGGAGTACAAGTGCCCAACCCACTGATCAAAAGCTTGCCGCCAGCATCACTAAAATGGTCTGAACTGGTTCGCCCACTTACCCAATAGCAAGTCAGAAAATGGGTGCTCTGAATTTTCATACTCTTTTTGAAAGGTCAAAAATTCTCCTTTTTTTTAATAAAGGTCTTGGGGGTCGTTTGGTGCCAGCTGAAGTGGCTGAACTTAATGACTTCGGCTTTTATCTTCCGGTGAATAAACTACTTAGGAGGTTGTTAGCTTCTTAATGGCTGAATATTATGATACCCTTTAAATATTTTATTATTTTATGGTTCTAATATGATTCCAAAAATATATTATATTTGATGTTGCGCGATCAAGCTGCTTTCTGCTAGAGGTGATTTGGCTTTCAGGCAGACGACAGACTAAGTTGATCTGTAAGAGAAGGATCAGAGAACCCGAGGTTGTTAGCCCGACGAGGTCGCTCCGATGCTTAAGTCAATAAACTGGTAGCGAGCTGAAATAGCTTAAGGATGTAGGAGAGCTAGAAAGCAGAGAAATCACGCGTCCCTTGTGCCCTCGGGGTTGGAGCCTTTAAATAGTGAAGTCCTCGCGGGTTTCGCGGAGTAGTTCCGGGATCCTCGTTACTACGAGATCCGTTTCCGCGTTAATTGGGGGAAAACGTTGCCAACTGATAAGGCTTATCTATTCCACCCAAACTGGGCGGGGAGGAAGATAAGGCTTGTCATTACGAGGCGTGATCTTGTAAGGTTCAGAATCTGATGGCGATGTTTCCGGGGTCGTCAAGTAGTGGTCTGAGTCGGTATCCCCGAACTAATGCTCTTCAGTCCCGAACTGGGGTGAACCCCGAAGTGCCTTGGGACCGAGGTGGTCATGATGCGACCTTGTACCTAGGTGACCTCGTCCCGAGGTGACCCATGCCGAGGTGGTTTGATTATCTGAGTTTGATCTGTTGCGGTCTTGGTATGTCGGACTGAGCTGCCATCTATTAGTCAGGTTGTGTCCATGTGTCCCCCTATTACTAGGTCGGGCCAAATCGCCCTTCATCGATATTAAAAAAATGTGTTTCTATCATGGTTTTTAAAAACGAACCGGTGATCAAATCGGTCAAGGGTCTGGTTATCGGTTCAAACGATCGGCCCGTTCTGACAAAAAAAATAATAAAATAATAAAATTGGAAAATGGTCAAAACCGTTCGAACGGTTTGAACTGTTCGAACAATTAACCGGTTGATTCAGTGATTTGCTTACCAAAATCAATGGTTTTGGAGGAAAAAGCGGTTTTGGAGGAAAGCGAAACTGGTCAAGTAACCAGTTCCCGGTTTTTCCAATCTAGTCCAGTTTTGAAAAGTGGTTTCTATTATAGATTAATTGGGTCCAATTCAATCTGATAAATACTTTGGACCATTTTGGCCTGATCCAATTTGTTTAAGCTGGTTTTAATTTAGATTGATTCCAATCCAATCTGACCTAATCTAATATAAATCTATTACGGATGAATCAGGTCCATTCTAATCCAATGAATACTTTAAACCATGATTTTCAAAATCGGATCAGACCAGATGGTTGGACCAGAAAATTGGGAACTGTTCAGTGATCGGTTCCGTTTTTCCCCAAAATTGAATTTTTTTTCAAAAAAAAAAAAAACATTGATTTGGTCAACAAACTGTTGACCTAGGCAGTTGGACCATTTAAACCGTTTAACGATTTTGACCTTTTTATTTTTAATTTTTTTTGTCAGAATGGGTCGACCATTCGGTTCGAACAGCCAGACCATTTGACCCGAGAACTGGACCTGACTGGTTCATTGTTTGGGTCGGTTTTAAAAACGTTACTTTAAACCATTAAATCTAGACTGGTCCAATTCAACCCAAAACCGGTCCATTGACACCCGGAAGAAAATAAAGTTGACTAATCAGATACTTTTTAAGATTTATGACCCGATTGAATCAACTCCCGACAAGAAAACCTTCCAAAATATGGACCCATTATTGTGCAACCTGATACTTCCGATAGTCAGCAATTGAACGCGTCAGAAAATCTCGTCGAGTCCACGCTAAATTGCGCCACGTCGAACATGGGTAGCGGGCCTAGCGGCCTAGCGGGCTAAGCTTCTCTGTCCACAACTCCACCCCCGCAAACTCCTCTCAGGTGCTTAATCGAATCTCAGGCTTATCACGTTCGATCGGCATCATTAAAGGCAACGTTGCCGATCCAAGAAAATTATGAAAAAATTAAAACCAGAAGCAGATCACAGATTAATCAAACACGAGACGAGCATTCAATTAAACTGGGGATCGTAAAAGAGAACGAAATGAAACAAACACCTTTCGGGCATGGATTGACTGGGATTGGATCGGCGATTGAAGTCACCGGAGGCGGCATTGGGTTTCGATATCTCAGGCTTATTGGGCTTGTCGTTTCTCTTCTTCGAGATATTCTTTGTGTCTCTGTTGCTCTGATGCAGGCCCCTGAATCTCCGACGCTTAGAAGATCCAGTCTAGTCGATCTTCTCATCTCTCTCGCTCCACGCTTGAACCAACTTCAGTATCCAAATGCAGTAAGTTTCCGGAGAGGAACCGCCGTGTCTGATCGGTCATGCTCATGCAGCGAGAAATCTGTATGTTCCGGGTGGATTCAAGAGGAAAAATTCGTTGATGAACTACTCTCGACCAGTCTCGGTTCATTGTAGAATCGCCAGGGTTTTCCAACGAGTTCAAACGCAGACGTTCCGAAGCCTCTGCATCAAGGTGGATGTCGTTTACAAATCGCTACTGTAGGGAATCACATAGTGTTTTTCTGGTCCCACCTAAATCTGGTTTTGTCGCTTTCTTTATCAATGTTAAATTCAATTTCTCCTTTCACGATAAGTTGACGACAACTGTTTTCATCTTATTCTCTCTCTCTCTCGCGCGCGCTCGCTCGCTCGCTTCTCTCGCCTATAAATTTGAACCATGTTTCGTTGTTTCTTCAACGTTTCTTGTGGTTGTTTTGCAGTTGCAGAGATGGGTCTAAACTCGAACAGAGTGGAAGCGGCATGCAATGAAACCGCCCTGAGAATCACAACAACAGACTCTTTAACATCCATGGATGTCCATAGAGTGTGTTTACCACCCAAGCAAACTGTTTTTCAAGTACTCAAACACAGGCTCTCTGAAATTTTCTTCCCAGATGACCCTCTTCACAGATTCAAAAACCAATCACCATTTACCAAACTGGTTTTGGGTCTTCAATATTTCTTCCCTATATTCCAATGGGGTCCTAACTACAATCTCAAGCTTCTGAAATCCGACATTATCTCTGGGCTCACCATTGCAAGTTTGGCAATTCCGCAGGTAAGAAAAGCATTCTCTCTTCTTTTAAGTTCCTTTTATCAATGGCCTGATATCTAATGAGAAGAAAATGCTTAAGTTTGACTCTCATACATAAACAAAAATTTCCTCAAGTTCCAATTCTTGCCTTAATAGAGTTTTTTTTTTTTTTTTTCTTAACGTTAAAGGTGTTTCTTGTCGCTTATCAATAAATAGGTCAATAGAAAGGTATTGTCTGAATTCTGCTTCTTATGTTGAAATTGAATTCTGTACTTAATCTTCTTCATATCTCTGTGTTGTTTATGCTATAAAGTAAAGAAGTTATTTTGTAATTTAATTGGGGCTTTCAGAAATAAATTTAAGAAAGAGTCATCATAAACACCTTACACTGCCACAAACAATGCCAACTTTGATCGAACTATTGCAATGTTTCAGGAGAAAACAAAGTAAAAAACAGCAATTATTCTTGGTAATCTAATATTGTTTCTTGCCTTCCTTGTAATGCAGGGAATTAGCTATGCAAAGCTTGCTAATTTGCCGCCTATAATTGGTCTTTGTGAGTTCTGTTCCACAATCAACTCTGTATTCCTGTTGTTTAATCAACTGTCTTCTCTTATGAACAATCACTCCCGGGTTCTGATTTCTTAAATTAACTTAATTGGGTTCAGATTCAAGCTTTGTGCCACCTCTGATATATGCTGTCCTTGGGAGTTCCAGACATCTTGCGGTTGGCCCAGTCTCAATAGCATCTCTGGTCATGGGCTCAATGCTTGGAGAGTCAGTCTCCAACACTGAAGAGCCAATTCTCTTTCTAAAATTGGCTTTAACTGCCACATTATTTGCTGGTATATTTCAGGCGTCTCTGGGATTACTTAGGTATGAACACTGCAAACTTCTAGCAAGAAACTCATTAATGTGTGTTTTCATTTGGTACACTTCTCAATTTCAACTTCATCTTTCCCAACTTCTCTGACCCGGTCTCTCCATCTAAATTGAAACCAAACCAAAATATAGTTTGGGTGCTTCACTTATCTAGCTTTTCCTCAAAAATAAAAATAGTAATAAGAATAACAACAAGTGAAGCAAATTTGAAAGATTAAAATTGCACAAATGAAATTAAATATAGTTCTTGGGAATACCCATTCTATTTTTCTTGTCTCGCACTTCACTGAAATGGATCATTTGCAGGTTAGGTTTCATCATTGATTTTCTCTCTAAGGCAACTCTGGTTGGATTCATGGCTGGGGCAGCAATCATCGTATCCCTACAACAGCTGAAAGGGTTGCTTGGGATTGTACACTTCACTGGCAAGATGCAAATCATTCCTGTTATGTCCTCTGTTTTTAAGCACACAAACGAGGTAAAGCAAAAGCTCTAATTGTATATAATACAATATAGAGTCCTATAATACAATCGCATTAAGAAAACAGAAATGTCTGATGAGGTGAATCTATCTTCCTACTTTTGTTTACAGTGGTCTTGGCAAACCATTATAATGGGCTTGAGCTTCTTGGCCTTTCTACTGACAACAAGGCATATTGTAAGTGTATCCTATATAATTTTTTTATTGAGTTTATTGAGTTTATTGTTTTTTTTTTTTTAATCTTTTCATCCAACTTTCACTAGTGACAGGTCCCTTTGTTTTTAACATAGCTGCTGTTTTCTTAAAATTTTTGGCTGATTTCTAGAGCACGAGGAAACCAAAGCTTTTCTGGGTTTCAGCAGCGGCTCCATTAACATCTGTTATTCTATCAACCATTATAGTCTTTGCCTTTAGAGCCCATATTCATGGCATTTCAACAGTAAGAACATACAAATTCCTTCTAGTTTTTTTTCTTTTCTTTTTTTTTCCAATAATTCCATATTATTCTTATATTGTTGCTGTTAACTATTATTGTTATTTCAGATAAATATACAATAGCTTCTGATTTTTTTGTCCCTCTGTTGCCTAACAGATAGGTCACTTGCAAAAGGGTATAAACCCACCTTCAGCAAATATGTTATATTTGCATGGCCCTTACTTAGGCCTTGCCATCAAGACAGGGATCATAACTGGGATTTTGTCTCTCACTGTGAGTTTTTAAAAATCAGCCGCACCATCTTTTTTATATTTTTTTCTTCTGTTTCTTTTTTTCTTTTTCTAATTTGGAGCTATAGTAGTATTTACCAATTTATCTATTATTATTATTATTATTATTATTATTATTATTATTATTATTATTATTATTATTATTATTATTATTATTATTATTATTATTATTATTATTATTATTATTATTATTATTATTATTACTATTATTCATTTTATATACATATATTTTACAGGAGGGAATTGCAGTAGGAAGAACATTTGCTTCTCTCAGAAATTATCAGGTTGATGGAAACAAAGAAATGATGGCAATTGGTTTGATGAACATGGCTGGTTCTTGCGCTTCATGCTATGTAACCACAGGTCTGATGACTCTGATCATCTACATGACTCACTCATATTCTTCCTTACCGAAACCATCCTTGAGATCTTTCTTTAATTAGCAATCACCTACAAATTCCCAGACTGAACCTTTTATTTACTGAATTGCTTAGGATCCTTCTCTCGATCTGCCGTCAACTTCAACGCCGGGGCACAGACGGCAGTCTCCAACATAGTAATGGCGGCAACCGTGCTGGTGACCCTTCTGTTCCTCATGCCACTGTTTACTTATACCCCCAACGTCATCTTGGGAGCGATCATCATAACTGCCGTGATTGGGCTAATTGACTACCGAGCTGCCTATCGGCTGTGGTGCGTCGACAAGCTCGACTTCTTTGCCTGCATGTCTGCTTTTTTTGGTGTTCTCTTCCTCTCCGTTCAGATGGGTCTTGCCATTGCTGTAAGCTTCTCTTCTTTCTTTCTTCCCTAGCTTCATGCACAGATATCATGATGGTAAGATATCCGGTGAATTGGGTCCTGACATTTTTGGCTGGAATTTCAGGTCGGAGTCTCAATGTTCAAGATTCTATTGCATGTGACGAGGCCAAACACGGTGGTTTTAGGGAACATTCCGGGGACCCAAATTTTCCAAAACCTCAGCCGTTACCAAGTTGCTTCAAGGGTTCCCTCGTTCCTCATACTTGGCATTGAATCCCCAGTCTACTTCGCAAATTCCGCTTATCTCCAAGAAAGGTTTGTATTTTGTCTTCTTGTATTTTCCAGCTAAAACCATAACAAAAAGTCTTAACTTCACCATCACAGATCACAGTCACACCTCTACCATTTGATGGGTCCATCAGAAAATCAGATATGATCATTCGTTGAGACTGATCTTGGACCCACGGGTCTTGTGGAATCCATTTGTTTGATGGGTCCTCCTACTCAGCACATGTTAATCTCAAAGAACGATCTAACTTTTTGCAGGATACTAAGATGGGTCAGAGAGGAGGAAGACAGGATTCGAGAAAGCAACGAGAGTCCCTTAAAATGCGTCGTCTTGGACATGTCCGGTACGTTATGCAAAGCATAAATGATAGATCCAGTAAGAGCTCAATCGGGATTCAATCAACTCAACAAATTTACTCTGTTTTTGTTTTTTCAGCTGTAACAGCCATAGACACCAGTGGCATTGAGGCAATACGTGAACTTCGGAAGACACTTGAGAAACGATTGATTCAGGTAAAAGGGCCAAACCTCCGGTGAATTTCCGATGATCATTTGTTGAGTTTCTAATGATACGGGCTCTGTTTTCTGTTTGTAGTTTGTGTTGGTAAATCCTGTTGGAGAAGTGATGGAAAAGCTCCACCGCTCCAGAATTTTGGAGTCGTTTAAATTGAACGGGCTCTACCTCACAGTTGGAGAAGCCATCTCGGACATCTCGTCGCTGTTCAAGGCTCAGCCGTGAGCTCATCCTTTGGATTGCTTACTGTCTCACCATAGTAACAATAAGTAAATAGCAGGAAAAACATTGTAATAAGGAACACTTGTACGTCGCTGGTGTAGCTGCGTAGGTCAAGCTCTTCTAAGAAGAGATTGTCAAAGAATTAGGGCAGTTTTTGGTATAGAAGGCAACGATTTCCCCTAAAAAAAAACTGAATCTGGTACAATTTTTCTTGTTAACCATCAACCAAATATGATATTATTGCTAATGGGAAACAGTACAGTGCATTGGATTAGCACAGCACACTGTGCACGAGAGGGAACCTTTGTATGTTAGTTGGGCATAATCACGTCCTATCACCTTGTTAGTCTCATGTCTAATGTCTAAGTTGATCGAAAACAGTGTATTCAAAGTCAACAGTTGCTTCGCACGACATCATTGGCACATCCCCCTTCGGCATATAAGCAGCGCTACCTATGGATCGAAAAAAAAGGATTTTTATACTGCGCTTCACTTCAGAATTCTGATTTGAATTACAGAAACAATTAAATATTATAAACAGCCCTACCTATAATACCAGAGCTCTGATTACGATCCAATGCCACTGACCTTGGTGAAACCAAATAAATGGCTCTTACATCACAAAAAGCTTGTCCTAACTGCGGACTTCACACTCACACGAGTTTCTTCTGCTGTCTAAAAACGGGTCAGGTATTGGAATTTGACCCTCTGATAGGGACTAGGGAATTGCAAATTCGGATCTGGACCAGAATCTATATAATCACGTGCCCTTATTGTTTATGTTTGCAGTATTTGTTTGGAACGTGTTTGTGTTAGTGTTTGCCCATCTGAGGCTGAGACAAGTCCAACCCAATTATTCATACACGAGATACTGAAGCCAATTTGGGGAGGTGGGCTAAGAAAAAATCTATAAGCATCAATGTCAAGCTTAGCCTAGCAACAAATGCAGAATCGAATTTTGGTGCCGGGAT